AGCACGCAGCCATCCCCATCACCACCCCATGCTATGCTGCTGCCGCCGGCCGCACAGCTCTAAGCACAGCTCCGCTGCGGCGGCGGGAGGTTTTGAAGGCAGAGGCAGTCACCGCTAGTCAAATCACTGGCAGGTAATATGCGATTTGATTATATGTAATTTTCGCCTTACGCACCGAGTTCAGAACCTAACTCCTGCGTAAGATGCGACATGCCTGCAGTATTGTTTCTGCTTCAATTTTATTGTCACCTAAAGTCTGGAGTTGTAAGCTTTCTTGCTTTAAAACTGAGTATGAAAACTAAGGATTTTTCTTCCTCCATTTTCCTCATTCATTCTTTTGAATTTCTCTTTCCTCAACTTAGAAAGATTTTTCTTCTCCAGCATCTTCCTCATCCTACTACTTTCTTTAACAACTCATTTCCTCACAAAAATGAATTGAAGGCATGATCATGCATTTAGCCTCCTACATGGCTGAATCACTCTCAACTTCAAGAAAACCCCCTCATCTTTAATGAATTGGAAATATTTAGTGCATCAAAGGGCTTCTGCTGTAAATCCTAAGGTGTTCCTTCCTCCAGGGGTGTAACTGGAAACATTGCCAATGCAAAGCTTGTTTGGGTGCCCTGATCTGAACTACATACTTCAGCAATACTACTAGCACCAGTGATATCAATATTACAAGACTTCTCTCAGCACCTACAAAAATTGCCACACTAAATTACAATATTTTGTTCACACTGGCTGTTAGTTAAATTATATTGGAAATGTGTGATTGAAATGAATATGTAAGCTTTAAACTATACTGGAGAATTCAGAGCTTAGCAAAACTTACCAGAAACCTCCAGACTCAGCAGCCAATAACACTGCTTGCAATCAAATCCAAGATATCATAATTTATGCCCATTTTTGCAAGGACTAGCATCACAATACATAACATAATCTAGTCCTTCAAATTTTATGGAACAGATTTTAATATATTTTAATATGTTTAAAAGAAATAAATATATGCCATATCATATCAAACACAAGGCTTGTGTTACTTCACAAAAATTATTTTTGAATGCCATTCAAGAATAAATGGTATCACAACTCATTTATATAATATTCACCTAAAATAAGCGAAAAGGATCAATAAATGTAATTGTACAAATACTCCGGAGCCAAGAAATGCCGAGTCATCAGTGGCACTGAACTTCAAATATATCACTACTTTACAACATGTTGCACCACAAGTTCTTGGTTAGGGACAGATGTTTTGGGGGTGTGGAGAGAAGTTGGTGAAAACAGTCAAGTTTTATGCAGGGAAAAAGACAGATAAGGAAGCCTACCTCATTCTCCAGGCTAACAGATCAGTTATCGGCACCTGTTAACTAAAGTAAAGCCCAAAACAACACACAAAATGATATCCTTAACAAAGCTACTTGTGGTATGATAAGCACTTAAAAAAACAGAAAAGAAGTGCCCACATGGAATAAAGCAGCCAGAGAAAGAGGCTAAAGCAAGCTAAATTTATGAGATTGGGAAGCCTCCAGAGCACACAGAAAGGTGTGTAGAGGTAGAGAAATGAGTATCAGACAAAAACGGACACGAAGAGTAAAAATCATTTTTAAAAATTGTTTCAATAGACAGATTGAGAGAAGTAAGAGTAGGAGGCAGCAAAAAGGAAAGGAACAGGAAAGACTCTAAAAAGATGTTTTTGTGGAAGAAGAGAAAATAGGACCAAGTGCAGAAAAAATCCAGTGGTTCGCCTTTTCTAGATCTTTACTGATTTAAATAAATAAGTTCTGGAAAACTGCTAATGAATACAATCCAACACAAGACACACGTTTTACAAAGAACTGGCACTTGTTATGCCCACTCTTCTTCCTCAAGATTCAAAAAACTATAGATGACTTGATAGAAAATTCCTATTATTTTTTTAGAAAAATAGAAAGTGATTTAAATGGTGAAATAAAATGTAGACATTCTGTTAGACTTCTCAAAAATATTGGAAGGTCTCACCATCCAAAACCAATACACTGTTGTGAGCTTAATGCAGAAACCTTTTAATACAACTGTAATTTATGCTCTTCGTCTTAAATCTTTAAGCTTTACACAGCTGCAGTACCTACAAGAAAAGAATTCCTGTTATCAATTCTTATCGCCACGGTGCTTCTGAAAACCATTACATATGACAAGTAAAAGGAGTGGAGTATATCACAAAGCATGCCACCTCTGGCATTATCTATCACCAAGAATGGCAGGATGTTAGAATAAAGGCTTTAACAATACATGTAGTTTGGGTTCTTCTTTTGACTTGTACTGTAATAATAAGTGCACACACTTAATCTTTCAGCCTTTCAAATGACGCTGGACCAAGAACATCAGCATGCCGGACTCTACTTCAGCACTGCATCAAGAACCTTAACCTGCAGCCTACGGAGACTACTACACAACTGCAATTTCTTATTCCACTTTATTCTACAGTCAAAAACATTTAAATGATTATACCCCAGACAACTGCTATTTAAGGCTTAGTTTGTACACCTGTACAGATAAGTTACCTGCATTTATCTAATAAAAGTCTTTCCTAAGTTTCAGATTCCACATGGCCAGATTCTTATTTAGAAACATTTGCTTCCAAGGCTGATCGAAAGGACGGTACTTTTGCCCCCCACTTTTATGTATCATGAAATGCACAAAGTAATGGAGGTTTTTAAGGCCTGGCTTGACAAAGCCCAGGCTGGAACCATCTAGTTGGGGCACGTCCTGCTTTGAGCAGGTGGTTGGACTAAATGTGACCTCGGAGGTCCCTTCCAACCCTCATTTTCTATGATTCTAGAACTAGCACCGGCTGCACCGTAATGATAACTGCAACAAGGGAAATTACACAAGGCGTGCCTAACAACTGGTAGGAAACCAGTTGATTCGTTAAAAAAAAAACACCCAAAAAAGCCAAAGCCTCAGACCTGAATAAAAACACCTCGAATTGGAAAAGCAGGTCTCAAACCAACCCCAACCGGTCCAATAAAAAGGTATCACCCACAGAAATCTTGGCCTCTAATACAATTGATATTTTTAGAGGACTGATGGTCCACTTCATTGGTCTGCCTTCTTGCAAAGAGAATGGGAACAAACCTAAACTTTACACTTGGGTCCATTCAAAAACAAAACGACACAAAATCCACCGTCCGAAAGAAGAGCAGAAGGGGAGGCAGGTGAGGTCCTGACCCAGAAACCTGGCTGGCAGGGCAGGGCAGGGCAGGGCAGGGCAGGGCGCAGGTCCGGTACCCGCGGAAACAGCGGGGCAGGCACGGGCAACGGTGTCGCCGGCGCAGCACGGCTAAAAAGCCTCCCCGAGGACTGCAGAGGGATTGAGACACGGAGCCAGCGCTACCGGCGCAGCGGCTGCACGCTCCGCCTCGCCCACAGGCCTTTTAAAGATGCACCGGGCCAGGCACGGATGCCTCCCCTGCGTCTAAATCCCTCGGGCCAGGCGGGAGCCGCCGGGCTCCCAGCGGCAGGC